ATTATATTCATTCTTAACCAAATAATTATCCAGGGCCACTAGTTTATATGGTCGGATATTTGTCTGGGCGGTATGGATATTTGTTTTTTCATGAACGAATATTATATGCGATGTATATTAGTTTGCGAAGTAATGGATATTGTGTCTTTCATCAAAATTAAACACACTATCAAGTCCTAACACATAAGGCTTGCAACCTTAGTTAGGGCTGCCCCGCGAGGGCCCATGGACCGAAGGTCTATGAAACATTAATAGTAGGAGAGTGAGTGTCTTCCAGACCCTGATATTAGTCTGTTTGTGATTTCAGATATTAGCTTATGTGGTTGCAATATTAGTAAGGGTATCAAGGATATTTGTTCGTTTAAGGGAGGATATTATTTCTGGTGTGGATAGATGTTAGTCTGGACGCCACAGATATTTCTTTGAGAAAGGAAGGGTATTTGTTTTGTGGTGAATGGGTATTTGTCTGGGCGGTATGGATGTTTGTTTTTTATGAACATGTATTTTATGCGATGTATATTAGTTTGTAACTATTAACATGTGACCCCTATGGTTACTATTTCCATGTGAACCTTGTTCTAACTATTCAAATGTCATATTTGTTTATTTAAGCATCTACCATCACATTCATCAAGTATGGTTTCTAGTATCACGAACTTAGTACTAGTAGGAGAGTGAGTGTCTTCCAGACCCTGATATTATTCCGTTTGTGATTTCGGATATTAGCTTATGTGGTTGCAATATTAGTAAGGGTGTCAAGTATATTTGTTCGTTTAAGGGAGGATATTATTTCTGGTGTAGATGGATGTTAGTCTGGGCGTCAAAGATATGTGTTTGAGAAAGGAAGGATATTTGCTTTGTGGTGAATGAGTATTTGTTTGGGCGGTGTGGATGTTTGTTTTTTATGAACATGTATTTTATGCGATGGATATTAGTTTGTAACTATTCACATGTGAACATTATGGTCACTATTCCCAGGTGAACCTTGTACTAACTATTCAAATGTCATCTTTGTTTATTTAAGCATCTACCATCACATTCATAAAGTATGGTTTCTAGTATCACGAACTTAGTTAATCATATTACACCAATTTATGGTTTAGGTTTTATCGTTTGGTGATTATTGTTTAGGGTTTAGTGTTTTGTGTTTTACGGTTTAGGATTAGTCGTATATGGTCGCATATTAAACTGGTTGGTGTGGGTATTTGTTGTTTTATTAGTTGATATTAGTCTTGGCTTTAATGATATTAGTTCATAATGTTTGGATATTGTTTTATCTCTAATGAATCTTATGATTTTTACTAGTGGATATTATCTTTTTTTTTAAATAAATCATGGATATTATCTTAGTCAATCATATTACACCAATTTATGGTTTAGGTATTCCCATGTGATTCTTTGTTTATTTAAGCATCTACCATCACATTCATCAAGTATGGTTTCTAGTATCACGAACTTAGTCAATCATATAACACCAATTTATGGTTTAGGTTTTATGGTTTGGTGATTATGGATTAGGGTTCAGGGGTTTAGTGTTTTGCGTTTTACGGTTTAGGATTAGTCGTATGTGGTCGGATATTAAACTGGTTGGTGTGGGTATTTGTTGTTTTATTAGTTAATATTAGTCTTGGCTTTAATGATATTAATTCATAATGTTTGGATATTGTTTTATCTGAAATGGATATTATCATTTTTACTAGTGGATATTTGATATTATCTTAGGGTTTCATTCCAAACACATCAATATCAAGTAATCATTTAACAAATATCTAGACCTCACAGAACAAATATCAGGGAACTAATATCCATACATGGCAGAGTAATGTCCTGATTGAGGAAAAAAATATCAATACATCACATAACTAATATCTGGACAACCAATTACATACTAGAATCCATATCATCAACAAATAGAAACCCCAGATACCCAAGTCTAATCCCAGCTACATGGGCGTTATAGTGCCAAAGTAGGAGGTTGGCCGCAATGAGTTCTCCTCGTCTTCCATTATGCAAAATCCCTCAAGCACATAGAAATATCCTGTAAGCATAGAGAAATATCCATTAAAGAGCAGACAAATATCCAAATATGGAGGACAAATATCCAGGCATGATATTTTCAATATCTGGACAGCACATAACAATATCCACGTATTAAAAAAGTAGTATTCCAAGCATGCTAACTGTTATCCACTATGAAAGAAACTAATATTCTAGATCTACAAATCGAATCCCAGATCTCAACCAAAACCAAGAATCCCCAACTCGACAAAAAAAATCAATGAAACCCTAACTTCGTATCCACAAACAAAATCAACAAATAAGGAAGGAGAAGAAGCGTACCTTAGTATGTGAAGTTGTTCTTTGATCAACGACCTTCCCTTCGAAAAGCTTCTTGCCCCTTTTTCCCTGAATGAAAATAGATAAATCGCCTTCAGAGAGAGAGACAGAGAGAGGATACCGTCGCCGTCGTCTTCTTCCTCACCGCCGTCTACAAAGAGGATTTTGGTTCGTATTGAGAGAGGAAGGAGGAGGAAACAAAAAGATTTTTGAGGAGAGAGAAAGAAACTGAAAAGTGATGGAGAAAAAAGAGGAGACTAATAATTTTTTTTTTGAATTTTGAATTTGTGGGTCTCTTTTCTGAGTTGGGTCATGGGAATGAGCCAGCCGAACCGGTCAGCTACCCTCCTCCTCTCAAATACCCAAACTAATCATTCCCAACCGTCGGATCTTGGCTTGCCCACATGGTACGTGGACACCAATCTGTCCCTGTTAGTATATATATCCCTGTTAGCACCATAACTAAGCTGGTTGTTCGCCGGCAGCTCTCGCCGTCCGCTTCCCCTTCGGCCGAGTTTCGACCAAGGTTGTCAAACCGCGGGTCGACCCGGACCCGGACGAACTAGTGGGTCATGGGTCAATGGGTCACTCGTTTTAGCCCGGTTTAGCCCGGAAATATGGAAAATGTAATTATATTATACTTATCCTGAATCCAACATAAAAAAAAATGCAACACTACTTCAACTCCAACACACTTAAATAACATCAACTTAAATTCAACAACACTTAAATCATTCACATAACATCAACTTAAATCCATCATAGTTAAAAATTCAAGGCGGATGCGGAGTCCGCAGAAATGGCGACGCAACGGCCAACGGGGCTCAGGAAGAGCAACCCGTTGACCCGCTCCAACGGGCTAACCGGCCGGGCCAACCAGGGTTTGCCCGGGTCTCTCCGGGTTGACTATTTCCGGGCTGACCTGAAAATGGGTTGGTATGGCCCGTTTTTTTGGCCGGGTCCTGGCTAATCCGGGTCGACCCGCGGGTTGACAACCTTGGTTTCGACAGAGTGTTTTTTCTTCCCAACTTGGGTTTGGAATGATAGGGATGAAATCTCTGTTCAGTAACCATTCCATTTCCTGTTTTTTCATTCCATTTAATTTATTTGGAAATGGAAACAGAAAAAAGGGTTTACTTTCCATTCCCATTCCACTGGTAATAATTTGAGGAATCAAATAGTAAGAAATAGTACTAGCTTTTGGGAAGCACAATATCTTTTGCCCTGTTTAGTAACCATTCCCATTCCTCTTTTGTCATTCCATTTCATTTATTTAGAAATGCAAACAGAAAAAGTGTTTAATTTCCATTCCCATTCCATCAGCTTTTATTTGGGGAATCAAATAGTGCTGAATAGTAGCAATTTTCGGGAAACACATTATTTTGGTTTCAGGAATGGGAAACAGACGGATATCTCTCCTCTTTCTCATTAATGAGATCCATACATCGAATCCCCCAACCACCCAAAATCAATTTATTACCAGGTAATTCTGTAGTGCAGTCACTGTAGCGGTGCAGCCTATATAATACCAGCTATAGCCGACCAGGTCTTTGGCATTTCACGTTACTGGGTTGTGGAAACAAGCAAAAGGCATTTTCAATTTTTTATAATTTAAAAATATTATTCAATACTTTTCATAAATGTTGTCGCAACCGTCCCTCCAGGGGTCCGCTTGGGGTCGCGTTCGCTTTTTGGGAGTCGCCATCGATCTTACTTAGAGTGGATCGAACACTCATCGGTCGGCTCTAACCTTAGGGTCTGAACCGGAATATGGTCTACGATTAAGAGATTCGGGTTCGGGAGTACGGTTACGTGTGGGGAAGTGAAATCACACCCCACGACCCCCTAAATCGGTACTACTTAAGTTGATAAGTTTTTGTATGAGTTGGGTGTATTTTAGTAATTATGTATTTTTAAAATCCCAATGGGCAATTACTATATTGCTATTTCATTGAGTATAATTTAGCTAAACGTCCATTGACGTATTAGTTTATCATTAGGTATTTTAGGTATTTTTAGGGCCTTACTTGACCACTAAAGAAATTAAATCGTATTAGTTGTAATTTAATTATACGCCCACTAACGTAAAAATTTAAAGATAAAATTAGTTGATTAGTTGGACTCGAACCTTATCGATTGCCTACGTACCCGTTAGACGGGATCAAAGTCCACGTAGTTCGTTGGGAACTTTGATCGTTTTAGTTATAACTTTTACCACGTTCCACTGAACGTAATTTTCGTATTAAAGATTTTGTTAATAAAATTTACATAGATTATTATGAGGTTATGACGCGGAAATAAAATGATTTTAGTTACCGAGAGAAGATATGACGTATTAGAAAAGAAGCAAGAGAAACTTAATCCGCATTCAACATTTCGTATTAAGGATTTTTAAATGAATAAAGATTAATGGGATGTTTACATGTATAGATGATGGGCCAGCAGCCCAACTGGCTAAGGCGTTAGTTGTATAGCACGTTAATGTCTGAGTACGCGAGTTAGAAACCAGGTCTCAACAATTTTTTGGGATTTCGTTTTTATTTCGGAGAAAGGGGAAGGGTAGTGTCGTAAATACACAAAACACGGTGGCATGGGTACGTATTTTTTAGGAAACCCTAGGGGTGAAATCGTCGTTTTAACGGTCGGGCTTTATATTTATCTCTAACCCTAACCCTAACAGCCGCCGCCTCACAACCTCATCACCCTCATCTCTCGCCTCTCTCTCTCTATCTCTCTCGCCTCTATTCAAACGGAGACCGAAAAAAAAGCCTAATCAAAGCGCCGCCGCTCAATCCTTCTCCCTCGTTTTGCTTCTCCGAACCAGAAACCCTCTGGTGTCTCATCCCACAATCGCCGCTATTCCTCACCTCCCTCTTTCTCCTGCCTTCTATCTAGAAATCGCGACCGAAAGAAAAGGAGGAAGACCCGACCTTGGTCTCTCCATTCTCTTCTCGGTCCTTCTCTTTCCAAAAAGAAAACAAACCGCCTCCTCCCCTCTGTGAACAAAATTTGCCTCTCTCTCTCTCTCTCTCTCTCTCGGGTAATAACGAGAGCGAAGGCGAATGGAAAGGCGGCGACGGGAAGACTAGCGGAGCCTCGACGGCGACGACTGATTGAGGTAGGGCATCTTGCATGTCGATTTTGGGGCTTTTTGTTTGTGTTGCTTAAGGTTCTAATCTGGATTTTATGTTGATTTTTGGATTTTCAGGGGTTTTCGAGTCTCTGGTTTCGGTGGGGAGGAAGAGAGGCGACACGAGGCGGCGACTACGGGCTTCGAAACCAGCAAGGGCGGCCTCAGGACAGACAGACAAACGGCGTTTAGGTCTGCATTTTTTGGTTTTATTTTGCTCTCTTCGCTTTAGATCTACACTCAGTGTTTTTTTTTTGTTGGCAGATCTGGGAATAGTAGTCGACGGAGACGGTAGCAGAGGCTAAAGATTTGGTGAGGATTTTTCCTTTTTTTATTTGATAATGTCTCAGTTTTTGGTTTCTAATCTGCCTATTTTATTTGATGCAGGGCTTGCGGAAGTACGGTTTTAGGTGAGGTTCCTCTTAACCTTGATTGGTTTAATTAACTAAGAAGGTTAACTATAAAAAAATAATTAATTTGTACATCCGAATTTATGGAAAATGGTATGGTGTTTTAGGCTTTAATCGTTGATCTTTCGTTGCTTGCTAATCCAGTTTTGGTTTCGGCAGATTCTGGGTTTTGGATTTGATAGGCCAAAGTTTAAAAAACAGACTAGGTTTTAACCAAAACAAAAACCATGCACCTATGTGCTTTGATGATATATGCAGTTTTGATTGTATTTTGTTTAAAGCTATGAAAATTAAGTATATTTCTCTTGCATGATCTAAGTAGTAAATGGAATTAATTTTGTGTAATGAAGATGGTAACCGCCACTGTTGACATCTATAAATTGCTACAACTGCTTGTGATTTTTATTAGACTAATGGTTGATTTGTGGGTTTTGAAATCTGAAATTTATTGCGTTTATAGTGTTGGAGTGTTAACTTTGTTTCGTAGTCAAAATGGAAAATATATGGCACAAATAGTAGATCTATAGAAAGTGATTAATCACTATTAATGGATAGCAAGTAAGATAAAAAAAAACAAGTAGCTAAATTTGAACGAAATACTACTGTGTAGTGTGTATAATCAATATGAGATAATCAATATGAGTAGCTGATATATTGTAATGGAGAAAAAATGTAATGGAGAAAAAAGAGGAGAGTAATAATTTTTTTTTTGAATTTTGAATTTGTGGGTCTCTTTTCTAGTTGGGTGATGGGAATGAGTAGGGCTGTTAGTCGGTTCGGTTAACCGCCACAAATAAAGAGCTGAAATATGCAACTGTAACCATAAAGAGCTGAAATATGCAACTGTAACCAATTGAGTAATCGGTTAGCCGAAACCGCCAATCGAAAGTCACGGTTCGATTTGGTCGGTTAGACTTTGATCGAAATAGAAGGGAATTAAAAAAAACTCCCCACCCTATTCTGGATCCTTCCCACCGTCCCTATCTCCAAAGACAAAGAACAACTTTCTCTCTACTCTATCCCTCTCCGCCTCTTTGGCTCTCTGCTACCCTCCCTCTCCCCTCACCAAATCTCCATCTCTACCTCTCTGCTACCTTTTCCCCTCACAAAATCAACACAAAAAGTCAACATAAACTTGGAATAGGTGTTGCCGTGTTGGATCTGGCCGAATTTCTCACTCTGCGGCGACGACGACGAAGGTCGACAATCGACGGCCGTGCTGATGATGGATGGCAATCGACGCCAACGAGGGTTGGCAATCGACGCCGACGAGGGACGTTGTGGATGAGGGGGTAGGTGGGGGAGTGCAAAGATGAGTTCGGCCAGATTCGGAGAGAAGGGTCGGCGAAGTCGGGTGAGGAAATTGTGGATGTGGAGGGCGGTGGTGGCGGCCTGGTGAGAGGCTGGAGATGGAGAGGGAGAGAGGGCCCATGCGGGGTGAGAGGGGGAGTTGAGAGGTTTGTCGGTTGCATCAGTGCACCGAGTTTGATCTCGGTTAGAAATCGGGAACCGACGGTTAGTCAGAAGCCCATAATTAGTACATCGACGCCGACATCGAGGCAAATATATATGTTTTTGGTTAGGTCGATAACCGAGATTTTCTTGACGGTTTTCGGTTCAACCGATTAACCGGCAAATGATTATCAGCCCTAGCAATGAGCGAGGTGAACCGGTCAGCTACCCTCCTCTCAAATACCCAAACTAATCATTCCCAACCGTCGGATCTTGGCTTGCCCACGTGGTACGTGGACACCAAACTGTCCCTGTTAGTATATATATCCCTGTTAGCACCATAACTAAGTTGGTTGTTCGCCGGCAGCTATGGCCGTTCGCTTCCGGTTCGGCCGAGTTTCGACGGAGTGTTTTTTCTTCCCAACTTGGGTTTGGAATAATTTAACAGAAAACATTCCATTTCCTATTTTTTCTTCCCCTGTTCAGTAACCATTCCATTTCCTGTTTTTTCATTCCATTTCATTTATTTTGAAATGGAAACAGAAAAAAGGGTTTACTTTCCATTCCCATTCCACTGGTAATAATTTGAGGAATCAAATAGTACGCCGCCGCCGCCATTGTCATGGGGACAAAGCAAGAGGACGTCCTTTCACGTCACGCACTTGGCTGCCCTAGCTACCATCCACCATCAGATCCACCGTTGCCATCGTATCCGCCATCGTCTCATCACCCGCCGTGGCTGAAACCTTCTTATTCCGCTCAAGATATCCACAAAGATCTGGAGAGCTTGGCTGCCAGAGTCCGAGCTGCAGAGGCCATGAATTCACATTATGCCGTAACTAATTGGAGTCCCTTCCAAGCTCCAACTCAGCAGTCGTCGTCCTATTACGTCAATGAGTTTCAGGGGGATTATGATCAAGTCGGAGCTAACTTTTGGGGTCAATATGCTAGTGCTGGTGACCGAGTAAAGGAAGGAGAATCTCTTTCTCTACCATGGGACAATATAAGGTTCACGCGGGAGGAAGAAGACAAGCTGAAATGGAACTTTGAAGTCACCACCACAGCACCATCGACTTCTAGTGAAACGAAGCTAGCCACCACGTCCCCGCCAGCCCCGGACGACACCATCAACGATCTTCATGTCACTGCCACCGTTTGGATCCCCATTACTAAGTTATCGGCTCTAGACTGGACCAAGGTGAAGCCACCAAGCGACGCCAAGGAGAAGGTGACTCCAGTCGTGGCCGCTGCTGCGGAAGCAATGGAGTTTGTCGCTGATAAGGAGCTAAGCCTAGCGCCAACAATGTCGCCAGCGACCTCGGCTACTGCGTTGAAACCCGACCACGTTGCAGTCCGTGCCCCAACGTTGGACATAGTCGAAATTGACGTTTGTCCCCCTAACTACTACCATGGTATGTGAATCGAAGTGGTTGTTATGGGCAAGGTGACCGCGAACCGCCTGGGGACGCAAATATGGTCGTAGACCACACTCTTGATTGCCAAAAAGAGGGATACATTATAGGCTATTCAAGAGGCCCTCTCGGTTCAGGCAATCGATGGTTGACTTACTCCCTCACTCAACTCAAAGGTTGGTCGGCTTAATTGCGCTTAACCAAATTGCTTAATTCAATATAGAGGTTTGCCCTAAATTAACCTAGATAGGTGGCTTTAGAAGCCCTATGAATCCCAACTCAATTGAGCCTCCCTTGAAAGGGATTTTCCTCTCTCTAATCTAGGTTAGAATGGCCAATTAGATTGCTAAGCACAAACATGCACAATCAACATGAAAAATATCTCAATCATTGAATTAAACAACTTCCATAAACAATCATTCAATTCACATAACAACTACGTAGCAAATAGTTAGGGTTTCACAACACCCAAGTGAAAAAGAAAACTACTCCATGCTAGAAAGAGGAGAAACACAAGAGGAATAGGTAGAAACCATCATGGAGATGCTTTCAATCTTTTTTGAGCTTGTGCTGAACTTCTCTTGGGGAGAATCTTCCCAATTCACCACTTGGAGCAAATCCTAGCCTTCCTATTCCTTTGGTCTCTGCATAGATAGCAAGGCAGAAAAAGTTTAGAGTAGTGGTCAATAGCACACACTCCCAAAAATAAGTAAACCAGAGCTGTGTTCAAAGCCACTAGTATGGAGTGAAAAATGAAAGTCTAACAATACATGCATACACCTAGTTATGTCTGGAAAGATTCCACAATCAAACATGAAATTAATAAACTTCAAAGATGATGCTTTCTTTTTCCCCTTTTCTTTTCCAATTTTTAAAATTTCGTAATGCAATTGTCACGGAAATAGTATGCTTCTTTAGTATTTGAAGTTGTTAAACCTTCATGAATCACTACTATGCAGTTCTTGAAATTAATATAAACCTCTGCTATCTTCTCCACCAGGTCAGATTCTTCCCTCAAAATCTCTTGTAATGTTGTACGATTTCTGGCCATATTCTTGATCACCCACCTCCTGCCAATAACCGAAGGAAAAATGCATAGAACAAGTTAACAACTCATGCAGTTCAGCAGATAAACAACAACACAGGAAGAGAATCAACTAGTATTTCATAGATATTACTTATGGCTCCATGCTTGCTCGCTCTTGGGTGAATAGGAAAGGACAAGGGCTGACAAGCGGAGCTCGTCAGTGAACATTGACGCTTGTGTCTTCTTCGATACTATTAACTTTCTGCAATTTGCATCAAGAACAGTCATTCATAAAAATAATATAAAAACAAGAACAGAGGGGCACATTGGGCATAAACAAGCTGCAACTAGAGGGTTTAAAACACAGGTGCGAATCTACCATTTTCGGATCATTACGATTCAAATCAACCAGACCCGTATAAATATAGAAAATTTCAAATTGGTTACCTGGAATTCTAAGCAGTCCTGTAATCAGTGTTTAACAACACAAGTGCTTTGCTGCATTTCATAACCACAATACCTAGAGCTTCAGCAGAAGGAAGAGATAGGTCGCCGAGGTTCCTGTATTCTGCAATTGCATTCATGAATTGTTCTCTGGCAGCCTTGTACAATAGGAGAACAACCTCCGAGGAAATGCCCAGTTTGTGATCTCGAATCAGAAAGCTCCCATCTCCACCATCCAGCGCATCCGAGGCTTCCGATCGTGAGCTACCAGCTTCAGGATCTCTCTCTAATGTCGCAAATTGCGAAGGGTGAATGAACCCTACTTCGTTGCTGAGCACGAAGGAGCACCAAAGCAGCCGAAAAACCAAATTGAACATAGGGTTGAGCGAATAAATTGAACGAAGGGGAAACAATTTGACGACGGTGCTTACATGAGGGGATCGGAATAGAGAATGCATTCGAATTGATTCAACAATTGCGACATGTTTTCGCTCTGAATAGTACCTTCAGGCTTCAGTCATCATTACGAACTCCAGCGTCGATTTATTAGAAATTGGAAACGGAAAGAAACTAATGAAGTCAGCCCTATCATTCCAAACCCAAGTTGTGAAGAAAGAAGACTCCGTCGAAACTCGGCCGAAGAGGAAGCGGACGGCGAGAGCTGCCGGCGAATAAAGATTTTGTTTCTCCCCCGATTCCACTTGGCAATAGCTGCCTTCGCAATCGCACCCTTCAACCGCGCGATTGTTAATCTAGTTTGTTGGGCTGGGCCTACTGCCTACCACTTGAAAATGTCTTAGTACTCGAACCCCATTCATTTTTGACCGGCCGGCTATAAAGAGGAAAAAATCCAGAACTACCGTTATTTTAAAAAAACAACTAGCACCGTGCCCGGCCCTTGGCCGGGTAAGTTTAACCAAAAATTGATGAAAAATATCATTCTAAAAATATAATAAGAAGAAAAGAAATACCAATGAAAACCTTTGGCATAGTCTGAGCCCTGAGACAGTTACATGCCCCTTAAGCGCTAAGGCTGCGCTGGAGATAATTAGTATATAAATACACACCAATGGCTACTATAATTACAGCCGTTGTTCATTAAAAAGCATCATCAATTGTCTTCTATTCTTCTCACGGCGGCTAGTAACTAAAATCATGTTTAATGTTATCAAATTATATCACCAGAAGTTTTTATCTTTCTCCGAAACATTGCCATATAGTGCCTCTCTTGATATAGAATTTAGAGCCAGACAAAATTGGTCCCTGAACCATAGACTAGGAAACCGGATCGTACTGGCCGGTTCAACCGGTTCAACAGGAAATTGGACCAAAAGCGGCACGGTGGGCTGATTGTGTTGATTTTACCGTGCCGGCCGGTTTTTTCGGTTTGATCGGTTGAATCGGCCTGTACGATCCGGTTTCCTGGTCTATGATTCAGCATCATTTCTCCGTATTCTCGTTCAATATGTGGAAAATAATTAAAAAAGAATATTATTTTGCTATTTTTCTATGTTGAAAATGGGTCACCGTGGTTGTATAATGCTCTATTTGGTTCTTTTTTTGATGGATTATATTTTTTATACTATCGCATTTCATTTCTCCATCAATAGTGAAAAACGGTATTTACCGGTACAAAACGGTTGAACCACTGTCGTACTACAAAATACCATACCAGAAAGGAATCCGGTATGATGTCCGGTACGGTTTCCTTTAACATGCCCTGAACTCCCTTCCATTACAGGCCATCTTATTCTTACCTAAAACAGAATTCACAACCTAACTCGTTTCCTCAACTTTTTTATTTACCCAAATGTAAACTTAAAGTCATCAAGGGACTTGATCACTTACCACGAATAAATTCCTCAGCTGGCGGTCATAGATATCATTCACGCCCGCCGGATCGTTGACCTCGGTGACGTAGTCCTCACTATCGGCCAGGCCGAGGTCGAGAGCAGTGGCCAGCTCGTGGTAGCTCAATAACCGTGGTACACCGCCGAGCCGGAACTTGACGGCGTTACTGTCTGTCCAACTCTCTGTGGATGTGTGCTTGAAGGTCGTGTAGAACTCCAGCACGGGCTCGTGGTAGACCTTCTCGCGGATGGAGAGCAGACGGCGCCACGGGCCGTTGGTGACGATAGCGGCCAAGTGCTCATAGCAGTGGAACTGCTCAAACTCTCGCCTGGACCAGCAGTGGTGCTGTCCAAACGAGCAGGCCAGGACCTGCTTGAACCGATCCTGGTAGGGGCCCCGCTTCAAATCCCGAATGAACGGGTCCTTGGGGTCGGGTTTCGTAATGGTCCTACAAAAGAACAACCCAAATTGGAACCAAAAGAGCCAAATAAAAGGTTAATCACACCCCCACACTTAATAACAGAAAACAACCCACCATGGTTTCATCCATAGTTCGGGGGTCAAAAACTCGATCAATCAAGCATAATCCATAGCAAATACACCCTCAAAGCACATCATTGAGGGCCCCAACCGGTCCTCACAACATTGCATGCAAAACAGGCATTTCATCGAACATCTTGTGTGCACTATTAAGGTAAGCATGAAATTGACAAAATTCTTGCACTATTAAGGTAAGATATAATAGCAAAACATAGGTCAGATTAAATGAAACCTTGCGTTTTGCCTCACTCCCTCTCGCTGGACAACTTACATCTCCGGCTGGGCCAAACAAAGCCCGCCTAACTCAGGGCGGCCCAAATACGGCCCCGAATAAGATATGGTGAGCCTCCTGTACGGTAAATATTCCTGCATTTTGTGCTGGTCACTTTCAGCTAGACAACTGACTGCGATCCCAGGCCCAGCATCAACTTCTCCCTCTGACCAGCCTTTGCCAGCCTTTGATGTCTGCCGTGGTGACGCCGCTCAATTCCTTGACTGCACGTCAAAACCAAAACCCAGCCTCGGAATCAGGATCCGCCGATTCAGCTTCTCTGCTTCCAAAACCCAGGTTCGACTGATTCTCCACTTTGTTCCCGTTATAGCGACCTTTTGCCGCTTGAATCCCCAAATCCGTCTGATTGATGTTCTGGCTTTGTAATACACACACATCAGTTTCCAGTATGCCTCTCCAATTCGAGCTATTCGTCGTCCTTGCCTTCCCATGGAATCGTTTCCCTCTTTTTCTGATAACCACCCATCATCACAATAACTCATCTTTCAATCCTCCCCCAAACTATTTCTCCCCTCTCTACCACCGCATCTCCGATTTCCCACCACCACCACTTCCATCAAGGCCCCGTCATCTTTGTCGTCGTCATCGACTCCAGCCACCAGCCGCCTACTTCCTCCTTCTCCAACGGCAAGATAGGGTTTCTAACTGCATCTTTCCTTCTGTAAACCCTATTTAGAATTGGGGTTGGAACTTGGAATCGGCAGCAGAGTCAGTTTATAGTTTCTGCTTTCATTGTAACATTGGTTTTCTTTCTTTTGTTGCATGCTTCAATCTCCCCATTCTCATGACCTCCTCGGTTTAGGGATTCAATTGGGTTGTTGTGTTGCTTTGTTCTCGACCCAATCCTAATTGGGGCCAATCCACAATTTCTAAACCAAAATCCCACGTCAATGGCAGAGACCTCTTCCGTCGTTTCTGTTTTAGAGGATTTCTCGGCTGCTACTAGGGATTCGTCAAGTTTGATTGCAACAGTGTTCTTTTTCAATTAGTGTGTGCTTCACTTTCCTCATTTTCATGAGCAGGTGATCAGCAACGGTAGACGCGAGCAGATGATGGAATTCGATAGACGCGAGGGAATTTTGAATTGTTTGATCACTGTCTATGGAATATATTACTACATATATGACTGTCATCTTACAGGTACTCGAATAATATTGTTTCCTAAAAGAATCCGTAATCCCTTTCGCATCTCTGTGCCTAAGGTGAAAACTATTTCCTACACTTCATAATCTAACTCCAGGCCGCTTTTGTCTCCTAGATTGTGTCTTTTGTTGTTAGCCTCTGTAGTGACAGCCACATAATTTAGTTACCACATAAGCTAGCTTTCGTTCAGTTCCCTCAGAAATTTCACAACGTGAGCAAGAATGATATCTATGACCGCCAGCTGAGGAATTGATTCGTGGTAAGTGATCAAGTCTATTGATGAGTTTAAGTTTACATTTGGGTAAATAGAAAAGTTGAGGCAATGAGTTAGGTTGTGAATTCTGTTTTAGGTAAGAATAAGATGGCCTGTAATGGATGGGAGTTCAGGGACCAATTTTGTCTGGCTCTAGATTCTATATCAAGAGAGAGGCACTATATGGCAATGTTTCGCAGAAAGATAAAAACTTCCGGTGATATAATTTGATAACATTAAACATGATTTTAGTTACTAGCCCCCGTGAGAAGAATAGAAGACAGTTGATGATGCTTTTTAATGAACAAGGGATGAAATTATAGTAGCCATTGGTGTGTGTTTATATACTAATTATCTCCAGCGCAGCCAGCGCTTAAGTGGCATGTAACTGTCTCAGAGCTCAAACTATGCCCAAGGTTTTCATTGGTATTTCTTTTCTTCTTATTATATTTTTAGCATGATATTTTTCATCAATTTTTGGTTAAACTTAACCGGCCAAGGGACGGGCCCAGTGCTAGTTGTTTTTTTTTAAATAACGGTAGTTCTGGATTTTTTCCTCTTTATAGCGGGCCGTTCAAAAATGAATGGGGTTTGAGTACTAAGACATTTTCAAGTGGTAGGCAGTAGGCCCAGCCCAACAAAATAGATTAACCATCACGCGGTTGAAGGGTGCGATTGCGAAGGCAGCTATTGCCAAGTGGAATCAGGGGAGAAACAAAATCTTTATTCGCCGGCAGCTCTCGCCGTCCGCTTCCTCTTCGGGTGAGTTTCGACGGAGTCTTCTTTCTTCCCAACTTGGGTTTGGAATGATAGGGCTGACTTCATTAGTTTCTTTCCGTTTTCAATTTCTAATAAATCGACGCTGGAGTTCGTAATGATGACTGAAGCCTGAAGGTACTATTCAGATAGCGAAACCATGTCGGAATTGTTGAATCAATTCGAATGCATTCTCGATTCCGATCCCCTCATGTAAGCATCGTCGTCAAATTTGATTCAGGAAGTTTCCCCCTTCGTTCAATTTATTCGCTCAACCCTATGTTCAATTTTGTTTTTCGTAATGATGACTGAAGCCTGAAGGTACTATTCAGATAGCGAAACCATGTCGGAATTGTTGAATCAATTCGAATGCATTCTCGATTCCGATCCCCTCATGTAAGCATCGTCGTCAAATTTGATTCAGGAAGTTTCCCCCTTCGTTCAATTTATTCGCTCAACCCTATGTTCAATTTTGTTTTTCGGCTGCTTTGGTGCTCCTTCGTGCTCAGCAACGAAGTAGGGTTCATTCACCCTTCGCAATTTACGACATTAGAGAGAGATCCTGAAGCTGGTAGCTCACGATCGGAAGCCTCGGATGCGCTGGATGGTGGAGATGGGAGCTTTCTGATTCGAGATCACAAACTGGGCATTTACTCCGAGGTTGTTCTCCTATTGTACAAGGCTGTCAGAGAACAATTCATGAATGCAATTGCAGAATACAGGAACCTCGGCGACCCATCTCTTCGTTCTGCTAAAGCTCTAGGAATTGCGGTTATGAAATGCAGCAAAGCACTTGTGTTGTTAAGCCCTAATTTCGGGACTGCTTGGAATTCCAGGTAACCAATTTGAAATTTTCTATATTTATATGGGTCTGGTTGATTTGAATCGTAATGATCCGGAAATGGTAGATTCGCACCCGTGTTTTAAACCCTCTAATTGCAGCTTGTTTATGCCCAATGTGCCCCTCTGTTCTTGTTTTTATTTTATTTTTATGAATGACTGTTCTTGATGCAAATTGCAGAAAGTTAATAGTATCGAAGAAGACACAAACGTCAATGTTCACTGACGAGCTCCGCTTGTCTGCCCTTGTCCTTTCCTATTCACCCAAGAGCGAGCAAGCATGGAGCCATAAGTAATATCTATGAAGTACTAGTTGATTCTCTTCCTGTGTTGTTGTTTATCTGCTGAACTGCATGAGTTGTTAACTTGTTCTATGCATTTTTCCTTCGGTTATTGGCAGGAGGTGGGTGATCAAGAATATGGCCAGAAATCGTACAACTTTGCAAGAGATTTTGAGGGAAGAATCTGACCTGGTGGAGAAGATAGCAGAGGTTTATATTAATTTCAAGAACTGCATAGTAGTGATTCATGAAGGTTTAACAACTTCTAATACTAAAGAAGCATACTATTTTCGTGACAATTGCATTACGAAATTTTAAAAATTGGAAAAGAAAAGGGGAAAAAGAAAGCATCATCTTTGAAGTTTATTAATTTCATGTTTGATTGTGAGATCTTTCCAGACATGACTAGGTGTATGCATGTATTGTTAGACTTTCATTTTTCACTCCATACTAGTGGCTTTGAACACAGCTCTGGTTTACTTATTTTTAGGAGTGTGTGCTATTGACCACTACTCTAAACTTTTTCTGCCTTGCTATCTATGCAGAGATCAAAGATGAACTATCATTGACTCACTCCTACTGTCACTCTAAAAATTGGCCAAGTGTAACCACTTCCTAGAGCGTAGTATAGCGGGTTTGGGTTTTAATGTCAACCCGGGTCCTAGATTTGACGAGTACTCGGTGAATTCTTGTTATCTAGCAGTGAAACTTTAGTGCAAGTCCAAATTAACAAACAAACAAAGCAAGTTAAACGGTTGTTTTCAAGGCGAGAGAGGTCACCCGGATATGGTTCCCCCTAGACTGCAATTAAGCCGAATTTCAATTTACCAAGTTCAGTTTTCATGAAAGTTATACTGCGGAAGGTTCTTAAACAGTCTGAAGTCTCGACTAAAGGTCTCCAGACCCTCTCAATTTGAATCTCTAGCGGGCGACTAACCTCCACCGGAGTAAACAGATTGAGGCCCTAACGAACCAAACCTCCACTACCGAATTGAATTCGGTACAGAATAGTGAATTGGCTTCTCGACTAAAGTCGCCAATTCTCCACCTTCAATTGAGGGTGCTCTATCAACCTAGGCAGATATTCTCATTCTAGGTTAAAGCAGAAACAACAGGAATTTGATCAAGATTCAAGTCATTCAATCATTCAAGCCTTAATCGAATATAATCAAATCATAAACTCTGTACTTGGGTTCATACAATCAGACCTAGCATACAAATCTAGGGTTCCCCATACCCAGATGAATGGGGAAACTACTCCATGGAGAGAGAAGCAAAAGCAGATTCAGACGCGGAAATCATACTTTGAAGGATGAGTTTCTGCTCCTGGTTGTCAATCGGCACTTCTCCAAGCTCAAGCAGGGCTCCAATGGTGATGAAGATCAAGCTATGACACTTGGGAACTTTGGTTCGTCGCTTTCTCTCTCTAGGAATCGCTCTCTCTAAAACTCGGAACCCTTGAAATTAGCCTTCTTCTCCCTTAAAACTGCTGCCTGTCGCGATACCCGGTCGAAATACCCGGTCGGGTATTTTTGTCCTCCAGCACACTTCAAGCCTCACTTGCTCCTTTCGACCCGAATCTCGTTCCTTCGCCTTGATTCCAACGCCGGGTCCTGAAATATGATATAAACGCACACCCTAGCGTGAAATCGGCTTAAAAAACGAGAATCAACATCTCAAACGGCTCAAGAATAGGGGTAAAAACATGTATAATTATCCCACTCCCCCACACTTAACCGTTTGCTTGTCCCCAAACAAACCTAACTCAAACCAATGCAACTCTCCAAACCTCTGTAGCAACCAACAACCCCGATCATAGGTAGAGGATTTCCTAGATCATTTAGCAGCTTACGAGGTCAACCGACGCACAAGTCATCTCATAGCTTCTTCGGCGAGAGCACTAGTCTCGAGTTGGTATCATGGCAAATAGTGAATAGAGGACAAATGAATCATGGATGAATGGACTCTCAAAAACAAAAGATCATGGACTCACTTTTTTAATGTGCTCTATTTTCTTATTGAAGATGGTTGGAACCCCTTTTCTTTCTTTTTTGCTTGTTTTTTCTTCTTTTTTTTTCCAAAGGTTCCAACCTGTTGTTCAGAAAATGGGGGCTCCCACCTAGCAGAGGTTTTGCGGGAGCCCGGCTCTTACCGGCCATGCCAGGAGCGGATGTCTCAAGCCTCGTGCGGGGGAAAGACATGTAAGGGGGCTGGAGGTAGTAGGTGGAAATTGGGAACGGATTTCCGTCTCCCCTTACACACTTTCGCCCTATTCGCACGGGAGACGTTATTTTAAAGCACATTTTCGAGCAACTGTTATTTCCAAAACATGATACAAGAGTCCATGACAGGTAGAGAGTCCACAACACCACACAATTCAAGAGTCCTAAGATCACTAATTCACTCAATCAACCAACACAGTATGAAGAAGAAATGAGACTTCTTAAATGCATCAACATCCTCCATAGTGCTACACTACCTCCCTAGGTTCAAAGCATACTAAGAAGGCAATTGCAAAGAACACGTACTTGGAGCCCTCAAATTAAAAAAATTTGGACAGTGGACTAGGCTCCAAGCACACAAACAGATATAATGCAGTCAAAAGATAAACATCCCCCCACACTTAAGATCGACATTGCCATCAAGAAACTAAACCGACACAAGACAGTTTGCATGCTGACAAAGACAAAACACTCAAAACATGCCACTAGGGCCCTCCGAGACCGGTGAAGTCGATTTGGTTCATAAGGTCATCGTCTCCATCCTCCGGTGGTGGTGGTGGCGAATGGTCCCACCGGGTGGTCCAGTGGTGCTCCTCTGGTGGGTGACAAGCCTGGAGCAGGTGCTCCGAGTACTCCATCAATCGGCGGCCTCGATCTCTCTCCCGCTCGATGAGAGCACTAGTGACTCCCATATGGGTCTCCAAGCGGCCGAGGCGCTCGTCAACAACCGTCAGCCTGGACTGGTACTCGGCCTGGTGGGCCGAATACTGCTGGTAGAATTGGACCTGATGGTCAATGAGCTGCTGGTTCTAAAGACCGAGCTGCTGGAACTGGAGCCCCATCAGCTGGAACTGGTTCTTCATTCCACTCAGGAGGACGTTGATGCCATGGTTCAATTTTTGACCACCAATAAAATTAAGCAAGCGGAGATGTTCATTTACACCGAGGTTGTCGAAGGCAGTGTAGGTCATTCTGGAGATGGCCAAACATCTGGTATCCACGGTGGGAGTGTATTATACGAAGATCATCCCCACCAGGATTTCCAAGACTCGAGTTGGAGGCAAGAGTATCATCATGGAACTGGAGGAAGTCATCAATCCTTCCCTTCATATGAAGAAGAAGCTCAACAATATGATTACAACCAACAATCAGGCTACCAGTACCCACCTGAGTACAACTTCTATCAAAGCGGTGTTAGTTACCACAACTACCATTACGGAGGTAGTGAAGGTGAAGGTGCCTTTCATGCTGATAATCAAATGGAAGAAGAGGTCAATCCAAGTCCAGTTAGTGACCCTGAGGTTGAAGAAGAGGAAGGCGAAGTTAGTGCAGACAGCTTCGATCCGCTGGAAGGTGCTGATGATTCCGGTCCAGATTCAGATTCAGACGCAGATGGTGATGAGGTACCTCACGACCGTGTACCTATTCCATACTACAGTCACATTCAAAATGAAGATTGGTATGTTGATACCGACATGGACCCGCCAGATGTGCCAGTATGGGGTCCACAAACTGGCTTTACGAAGGGCCAACAATTTGCAACGAAGAATGAGGTCCGACACGCTATTTCCACTGAAGCAATGACTCGGAGTTTTGAATGGCAGACAACCCAGTCCGACATAAAGAGGCTGATGGTTCGATGCAATAACCAAAATGAGGGATGCAAAGCTAGGGTCCGGGCCATCAAGAGCAAGAGAGTCGGCTATTGGGTCATATCCCGTGCGGTGAACACACACACACATGTGTGTCATCAATAACATCCCAAGGCCATCGACAGTTGAAATCAAGGGTGGTTGCCGCGGCTATCAAACATCTAATTTAGGAGCAGCCCAACCTGAAGGTGAAAACCATCATCGCCCACATTTCTAGTCGTTATGGTTATATCATTAACTACAAGAAAGCGTGGCATGGGAAACAGAAAGCAATGGCTGCCGTGTTTGGTGACTGGGAAGAATCATATGCATTCCTTCCCAAATTGATTTTGGCGTTGGAGGTGTCTAACCCTGGCACCATTTTCTCGCCTCGCTACCAAGATGAAGAAATTCAACCGTCGGTGCCTGGTAACAATCGCCAATTCAAGCGTCTTTTCTGGGCCTTCAAGCCATGTATTGATGGTTTTCCATATTGTGTTCCTGTGATTCAAGTTGATGGAACATTCCTTACCGGCAAGTACAAGGGTACTCTACTGATTGCCAGCGGAGAAAATGCAAATAGATTAGTATGTCCATTAGCCTTTGCCATTGTGGAGGGAGAGAATACCTATAGCTATGGATGGTTCTTCAGAAAAATTCAGCTCCATGTCACCAGGCGGACGAACCTGACTATCATCTCAGATCGCCACGCCGGTATACGGGCTGCTATCTTAGGCTTGGATCCAGCCTGGAACTGGTCACAGAGATGGTGCATCCGGCATTTCAAGAGCAACTGGAACCATCATTTCAAGCGAAAGAAGCTTGCTGACAGTCTATGGTGGATTGGTAACCGTTCTAATTAATTGTCTATCTGTAAATTTTTTCAACTGTATAAAAGTATTGAGTGTTTCAATACAATACAATACAACACTTATTTAGACTCTTTGTAAAGAAATGCATGTCTAAGGAAATGGGGACTTAAGTGATCATCGTGATCCCCCCATGACCTGGGAAAATCGGGTTCTAAGCGATCCTCGGATCCCCCCTTTTTCTGTCAAAAAGACTGTGTTTCTAAGGAGATGTATACCTCTCTTAAGAGTCTTACAAGTGTACTTGTATTGGCAATAAGGTCGATCTTACTTATCTTACGTTTTTTTTTATATTCGTCAGCTGTCGCGTACCAAGAGAAGAAATTTAAAGAGAAGATGCAGAATATCCGTCAAATATCCCTGAAGGTGCGCAGTGGCTTGATCAACATGACCTTGAAATGTGGACTTTTCATAAGGACGGAGGTCACAGATGGGGTATTGCCACAACAAACTCAAGCGAGAGTATCAACAACGTCTACAGGGAATTTCGTGCACTCCCCATCTCTGCAATTGTTGAGATGACATTCTGGAAAACAAACAGATGGTTCGTCAACCGTCTCCACTAGTGTGAGAAGAGGGAGGCACAGGGTAAGGTACACTCTGATTATGTCACAAAAATAATGGGAAAAGATAATCGGAAGAGCTCTC